ATGGCCGACAAATGTTCTTCTATTGCAGGAATGACGTCGATTGGTTTCATTACGGGCCCAGTGACATTGAAGTTCAACCCTTTGTTTAGCACTTGTTGTTCTAGTTGACTCAGGTTTCGATCGGAGAGGTTTATTGGTGGTTTTACTAGTGCCGATAAAATTCCAGTGTTATTAAACCCCATCGCACGATTTTTCTGTGCCGATAACTGATAAAACTTCCGTTGTTGGCGTTGTTTAACATCTTGTAATTGTTTGTTGAATCGATGCGAGACAGTAGTTTTACACAACTGGAAATCCGTATGACTAAGCATTGCTTTGATCATCCGATCTAATGTTTCACACTTCTAACGGATATATTGTAGTTTATTTGCACAATTGATAATGATAATCCGAATCCAACATACACACACATGCACACACGCACACGCCACACATACACGGAAACTTACGCACTTGACCCCGTTTTTGGGTCAATCTTGAACGCCACGATTTTCACCTTCAAGCTTGTGTTTTCGAGAAACCGATTAAACTGACTTGACAAAGGCCTTCCAAGAACGTCGAAACGTTGTCACCGAAATCTTGTGTTTTGGTACTCACGTTGTGGCTAAAACAAACCTGATTCTATAGATACTTTAATGTTCAAATCACTTGGAGCTTGGTTGTACAACTTACTGTTGGAGTTGTTCCAACCCTTTACTTGTACTTCGTACAATACCACTGCGGTCTACGCATTGTTTTCCGGAGCAAACGCATTGTTTCGCTTGATTGTATTCGCAGTACATTATTCTCTTCATTTCTTCGGATTACTGTCGTATGGTTTTTCTCACATTTCCGTTCATACCTCCTTGTTTTAGGTCATATCGGTGGTCGAGTACTGTTACACTGAGATTAGTGATATCTTGAGCATATCTTGAACACTGGTATTCATATCATCACTGTCAAATAATTGGGAACAGGAAAGCCATTGCTTTCAAATACCCAGAACAAATTAAGTGGCGTTATCCCCAGGACGTTTTCGATTTAGGGTTTCAATCGCGTCACGCATTACTGCTTTCCGTACACATTGGATCTGGGTCGATCGCTAATCCCCTTTCACTAGTGTCCTTATTCACAATCAAATTCTCTTTCTTGACATTTTTGTTCGAATTCTGTTTGAGTGTTTGTGAATAATCTTTTTCTTCGGTTATATCCGGGTCACTGTTATGTGTCGTGCATCTCATATATCCGACCACAATGCCGCATATATGTAACCAATCAGAGTGTCGCCCGTGTTGATCAGATTGATCCGACTTTCAGTTTTTACAACCATTAATCGGGCTGGTTTTGGTTGCTGTCTTTGGGTTGCCCGTTTGGATAAAAGAGCAGAATATAGATTGTAATGTTGAGAGCAAATTCCAGCGGAATATAGAAAATTCATATAGACAGAGGTTACAAGAATACTGAGTAGATGCATGAGTGCCACTGTTTGCGACACCCAGCCATATCGCACAGTCATCACACCACCATCGCACCATCGGTGACCATAATCTCGGGCTCCCTAACGGGATCTGTCTCCTGGTCAGGGTTTTCGTACCCTCCTGTCAGGTCATGAATGGCTTTGCGAACGAACGTCCAAGGCAACGAAGGTCAGGGAGATCCATCGTTCTTTATTTGATCTTGCGCCACAATCTGCCATTATTTTGATTGACCTTTGGATCGCATCCTTGATTGCTGTCCAGTGTTCTCGGAGTCCTCCGGCTGATGGTTCGGCGGAAATGCGATCAAATAATTATGCTTCTGAGGCTTAGTTGATTTCATTGCATTTCCCGAGACGTTCGTAAACTCTGTGGAACCAGTGCCGTTTTATACACTATGAACAGTTCACTCTGGTAACGAGTATTTAAAAAATTCTATTTACATTACCACTAGGCTATATTTTATTCTTTTTGTTTTTTTTTGCTATTGTTGTCTGCAACTCCACGTAGCCCCTCACAGAATGTGATTGAAAGTAGTAATGATACTCTTGGATTGGGTGGACGTAACCCCCTCCTCTCGTACAATATTTGCCAGGTTCCGACTGTCGATTCTATTAGCTGTCGTAAACCGGTGGTTCTTCTTAAAATAATCATGATTCGAAACCAACTTATCTAGTAAATACACACAAGCCCAACAAACATTGAAACAAAAATATTATCTCAGATTTAGTCCGGCTTTGTCAAACCGGACTGGTGTGACAACAAAAACAAAGTGCGTCAATCAATTGAATATCGATTATGCACTGCTTTTGCTCAGCGTGCACATACATACTCACGCTGGCTGATCGACTGGCATGGAGATGTGCACTGGATTGATAGATCCCTTCTGCTGGTGTGCGTTTCGTGTGGATATTGACACAACTCTATTCAACATATTCTCTCACAATTGCACAAAATGGTTCGTTCACATGATTCGGATCCCCTTGTTATCTGAAGCAGTAGAACAAACTTCCAATAGTCAGTCGCTTTTTATTTTGCTCCAAGTAATAAACATTCCCTACTCCACCCCGCAGCTTTAATTGTACTGTTAACCCCTAGTTGTTGTTGTTGTTGTTCTTGTTGTGAGACGGGTAACCGAATAGGTTATAACATAATCAATTTTGTTGACGCTCACTCTTCGTTTATGGACTCGTATCACGCATTGTCACCGGGTAAGGATATTGAACGGCCTGTTTCTGTTTGGTGAAACTCTAACCTCCAATTCACTTCTAAAACGGCAAATGTGTCTGTCAGTAGCATTTACCGGATCGCTGGGAAGGCCTTGTTTATTGTCACATTCGAAATTTTGCTCGGACTCTATGTCTATCCTGACGAAACTTCGCGCTTGTGGCTCTCTGAGAAACTAAGGTGCTGGTGTTAGACCAGGTATACCATTCTACTCCACTACTGAAGTCCCATTTCTAGCTTGGATCGCAATCGGAAGTCATGCGAGTTTAAAGGTCTGTGCACAAAGAATAAATTTTATTCGGTCTGACCTAGCTAATTTACTTTCTTCGCATGCACCCCGTGAGACGACAGTTCAAGTACAGATCAATGATCTTCATGAAACGGATTGCGTCAGCCTTCGCCCGCTTGCACACACGGCCAACTTCCATTTGTTATTAGCTATTTTGTTTTTGCACTTTTGAAACTTCATCGAATTCATTTAAATTTAATGAGTGTTTGTGATAACCAAAGAGCTGTTTCGTCCTGTTCGGGACTGGTCAGTGGTGCATGCCTTTTGTATCCCTGTCAGACGTGCTTTGGTGAATGTTCGGTTTTTGACACGGGCAACAGGCACTGTTGTTGGGCGTGGGTTTCACTCCTTGGGAGATTGTCAATCACCAACGAGGTAAATGCATTTAAATGCGATGGAGTGAAACCCACACCAAACATCATCCACAGTGCATGGTGCCTGTGTCAAAAACCGAATGAGCCATTGACACAAAGTGATGACCGTTGGTCATGTAGCTCAGGGGTAAGAGTCCCGACTCGAAGGATTGCGGTTGGAGTCCTGACAGGGACACAGAATTGCCCACTGCTGACGAGTCCCAAACAGGACGAAACAGCTGTCCAGTTCTTCTCAGTTTTTGCTCGTTCGGTCGTCGCTCATTGTGTTTAACGATCTGAGCCCGATTAAAATCAATGGTTTAGTAAGTAAGCCGACCCAATGAGTGTCGTAAACAGTGGTGTTCGTGCATCTTCTCAATTTCTTTGCAACATTAGTTCACTGAAATTCTCAATTTCCTCTTCGATTCCGCATTGAACCTTTCCTATCTTTCTCTTACTGTTCATCCAACTTGGCAACCAAAACCCGCGCACAAAAGCGCATGGTTGTTGAAAGTAAAAACTGAACTAAAACCCAATGAAAGCGCCATGCAAGTGTGTTTCAATCAAAGTCTGCAGGTATGAACAAGTGAATTCGTTACTTCAGGAACGTAAATGGACTAACCAACAGTGATCATTTCCCGTTGTTCATATGTTCATATGGGTTTGCTACTATACCTGCACCTCTTGTCTAAAACTATTTTAATTCATTCTCGTTTCTTTGTTCCAGATTCTTGACGGAAATTTTCAGGAAACCCTATTGCAATACTTTGATGCCTCCGATTTACCGGCAGTTTACGGCGGTACCTTGATTGATGAGAATGGTGATCCTCGGTGTTCGGCGTTTATCTCCTGGGCTGGTGTCGTACCGGAAT